TTAGGTAAATACTTGAGTACATGGTATGATATAGGTAATTACTGTAGTAAATGGTATGATATAGGTATATACTGTAGTATATAATGGTATGTTATACGGAAATACTTTAGTAAATGGTGTGATATAGGTAAATACTATAGTAAACGGTTTGATATAGGTAAATACTGTAGTAAATGGTATCATATTGGTAAATACTCTATTAAATGGTATGATATAGGTAAATACTGTATTACATGGTATGATATAGGTAAATACTGTAGCACATGGTATGATATAGGTATACTGTAATAAATGGTATTATATAGGTAAATACTGTAGTAAATGGTATGTTATACGGAAATACTTTAGTAAATGGTGTGATATAGGTAAATACTATAGTAAACGGTTTGATATAGGTAAATACTGTAGTAAATGGTATGTTATACGGAAATACTTTAGTAAATGGTGTGATATAGGTAAATACTATAGTAAACGGTTTGATATAGGTAAATACTGTAGTAAATGGTATCATATTGGTAAATACTCTATTAAATGGTATGATATAGGTAAATACTGTATTATGGTATGATATAGGTAAATACTGTAGTAAATCGTATGATATAGGTAAATACTGTAGTAAATGGTATAATATAAGTATATACTGGAGTAAATGGTATGATATAGGTAAATACTGTATTATGGTATGATATAGGTAAATACTGTAGTAAATCGTATGATATAGGTAAATACTGTAGTAAATGGTATGTTATACGGAAATACTTTAGTAAATGGTGTGATATAGGTAAATACTATAGTAAACGGTTTGATATAGGTAAATACTGTAGTAAATGGTATGTTATACGGAAATACTTTAGTAAATGGTGTGATATAGGTAAATACTATAGTAAACGGTTTGATATAGGTAAATACTGTAGTAAATGGTATGTTATACGGAAATACTTTAGTAAATGGTGTGATATAGGTAAATACTATAGTAAACGGTTTGATATAGGTAAATACTGTAGTAAATGGTATGATATAGGTTGATACTGTAGTAAATGGTATTATATAGGTAAATAGTGTAGTAAATGGTATGATATAGGTATATACTGTAGTATATAATGGTATGTTATACGGAAATACTTTAGTAAATGGTGTGATATAGGTAAATACTATAGTAAACGGTTTGATATAGGTAAATACTGTAGTAAATGGTATAATATAAGTATATACTGGAGTAAATGGTATGATATAGGTAAATACTGTAGTGAATGGTATGATATAGGTAAATACTGTAGTAAATAGTATGATATAGTTAAATACTCTATTAAATGGTATGATATAGGTAAATACTGTATTACATGGTATGATATAGGTAAATCCTGTAGCACATGGTATGATATAGGTATACTGTAATAAATGGTATGATATAGGTAAATACTGTAGTGAATGGTATGATATAGGTAAATACTGTAGTAAATGGTATCATATTGGTAAATACTCTATTAAATGGTATGATATAGGTAAATACTGTATTATGGTATGATATAGGTAAATACTGTAGTAAATGATATGATATAGGTTTATACTGTAGTAAATGGTATGATATAGATAAATACTGTAGTAACTGGTATGATATAGGTATAGACTATAGTAAATTGTATGATATAGGTAAATGCTATAGTATGGTATGATATAGGTAAATACCTGTAATAAATGGTATGTTATAGGTAAATACTATAGTAAATGGTACGCTATAGGTATATACTGTAGTAAATTGTATGATATAGGTAAATACTGTATTATGGTATGATATAGGTAAATACTCTAGTAACTGGCATGATATAAGTTTATACTGTAGTAAATGGTATTGTATAGGTTGATACTGTAGTAATACTGTAGTAAATGGTATGGTATAGGTAAATACCGTAGTAAATGATATGATATAGGTAAATACTGTAGTATGGTGTGATATAGGTAAATACTATAGTAAATGGTATGATATAGGTTTATACTGTAGTAAATGGTATGATATAGGTAAATACCGTAGTAAATGATATGATATAGGTAAATACTGTAGTAAATGGCATGATATAAGTTTATACTGTAGTAAATGGTATTGTATAGGTTGATACTGTAGTAAATGGTATGATATAGATAAATACAGTAGTAAATGGTATGATATGGGTAAAACCTGTAGTAAATGGTATGATATAGGTAAAAACTGTAGTAAATGGTATGATATAGGTATATACTGTAGTGTATGGTATGATTTAGGTAAATACTATAGTCTGGTATGATATTGGTAAATACTGTATTACATGGTATGATATAGGTAAATACTGTAGTATGGTATGATATAGGTAAATACTGTAGTAAATGTTATGTTATACGGAAATGCTTTAGTAAATGGTGTGATATAGGTAAATACTATAGTAAACGGTGTGATATAGGTAAATACTGTAGTAAATGGTATGACATAGGTAAGTACTGTAGTGTAATGATGGTAAGTTAAAAACAGAAACTGTTAAATGCATGATGAAGGGTAATGGTATTATACTGGTTTAAAAGATAGTAAATGGTATGATATAGGTTGATACTGTAGTGAATGGTATTATATAGGTAAATACTGTAGTTAATGGTATGATATAGGTAAATACTGTAGTAAATGGCATGATATAAGTTTATACTGTAGTAAATGGTATTGTATAGGTTGATACTGTAGTAAATGGTATGATATAGGTATCTACTGTAGTGTATGGTATGATTTAGGTAAATACTATAGTCTGGTATGATATTGGTAAATACTGTATTACATGGTATGATATAGGTAAATACTGTAGTATGGTATGATATAGGTAAATACTGAAGTAAATGGTATGATATAGGTAAATACTGTAGTACATGGTATGCTAAAGGTAAATAATGTAGTATGGTATGATATAGGTAAATACTGTAGTAAATGCTATGATATAGGTAAATACTGTAGTAAATGGTATATTATATGTAAATACTGTAGTAAATTGTATGATATAGGTAAATTCTGTAGTATGGTATGATATAGGTAAATACTGTAGTAAATGGTACGATATAGATTAATACTGTAGTAAATGTTATGGTACAGGTAAATACTATAGTAAATGATATGATATAGGTAAATACTGTAGTAAATGGCATGATATAAGTTTATACTGTAGTAAATGGTATTGTATAGGTTGATACTGTAGTAATACTGTAGTAAATGGTATGATATAGGTTTATACTGTAGTAAATGGTATGATATAGATTTATACTGTAGTAAATGGTATGATATAGATAAATACAGTAGTAAATGGTATGATATGGGTAAAACCTGTAGTAAATGGTATGATATAGGTAAATACTGTAGTGAATGATATGATATAGGTAAATATTGTAGTAAAATACGGAAATACTTTAGTAAATTGTGTGATATAGGTAAATACTATAGTAAACGGTGTGATATAGGTAAATACTGTAGTAAATGGTATGACATAGGTAAGTACTGTAGTGTAATGATGGTAAGTTAAAAAAAGAAACTGTTAAATGCATGATGAAGGGTAATGGTATTATACTGGTTTAAAAGATAGTAAATGGTATGATATAGGTTGATACTGTAGTGAATGGTATTATATAGGTAAATACTGTAGTTAATGGTATGATATAGGTAAATACTGTAGTAAATGGTACGATATAGATTAATACTGTAGTAAATGTTATGGTACAGGTAAATACTATAGTAAATGATATGATATAGGTAAATACTGTAGTAAATGGTATAATATACGTATATACTGTAGTAAATGGTATGATATAGGTAAATACTGTAGTAAATGGTATGATATAGGTAAGTACTGTAGTGTAATGATGGTAAGTTAAAAAAAGAAACTGTTAAATGCATGATGAAGGGTAATGGTATTATACTGGTTTAAAAGATATGTTTTTTGGGGTGATTGGTATATCATTGATTAATGATAAAGTATGGGTTATTGGCAGAATATGACTATAATCGACATGATATAAGTGATAGTGTGTATGTAGGTAAAGGTCGTATAAATCTACAGGATTTGGTCAATGCATGGGGTTAAACTTTCTACTGATATCTAAGATAAATCTAGAGGTGTGCAAAATGCAGGAAACAATAACGGTATTTCAATCAGATTTCGTTACCTTTAGTGACCAGCATTTCCGGAATATACCTAACCTATTCTATTGTGATCTCACTACACAGACAGAGTAAATTCTAGTAGCAATAACTATCACACCAATGTATATACTTTTGTATATCTGTCTCTAATCAATATCGACCTGTTGAATGATATCTAAATGCTTTAAATACACTCTTTATAAATAATGGCAGCAATGCATATTACTGTATTTCCAATTCTTTGAGTTGATAGCCGGGGTATACCCGAGGTCTATGGCTGTCTTTCTTTGCCTTCTGGCATAAAGGAGGTCCGGCTACTAGGGAAACGTTTTGTTTCCATTTCTGACATGACATTGTTGTTACTGTATTTGTTTGTTTCTCATGCTTTATAATAATCCAGTGGTTCAGTCTGTCTGACAAATGCAATTGATAAAAATACAACATACAAGTTTTCATAAAGTTTACTTCAGTTTCATTAGAAGAAATTAAATCAAAGTACTTGCCACAAGTCCCAGTAAACTGTTAGATAGAAGTGTTTCTAGGGTTAAAGTTTATGACCAAAGCGAAGTTGACGCACTTTGTTATAACCTTGTTTATAGTACCCTTTTTGAAATAGAATGAAGTCGATTGAAATTCCTTTTAATAGTTTAGACAAACGTTGGAAGTCCGAAAATGTCACTTAAAAGTAATAGAACTAAATAACCGAAGTTGATTTTAATAATAATATTAATATACAACATTGATATAGCGCCCTAATTAGCATATAAATCAATACAATTTAGAGGATTTCGCAGGAGCTGCCTTATCAGGAGATAATTACTTGACCTATGCCACCTGGCTAATATCTCCCTATGTGTGTATGCATGCGTGTGTGCTGGAGATGTATTGTGTTCTGTATGTAGTGGGACCGTGCTTCCAACGGCATCATTTATATATAGTGCCACCTTACTTGTATACTTCAGTACAGATACCGCAACATCCACCTCAGACCATTTTAGAATATATCCGGGTTGTTGGAGTTGTGTGGACAGGAAAAAAACACTTTCTCTGAATATTTCATGTGTGCGACGACTTCGAGGATCAAACCCCGACCGCCTGCGTGGAAGGCCGAAGTATAAACCACTTGACCAATCCGCCCGTAAGTATACACTACTATAATTTATTTCTTAAACGTTAACTCTATACTCTATACAAATTCATTCTACGAGACTCCTCCTAAGTTAACATATTACTCTCCGACTCATCGTTCATTTTCTCTACATAATTATCCGAAGACTCTTCGTTCTGAAGCGACTCTCCATTTTCTTCTAACTCTCAATTCTCAACAAACTCTCTCTTCAACTCCCTAACAACCCTTTTTATGTACTACTATCTTTAAATATTGACATCATTTACTAAATATACTCAAAGCCATACTTAACTTAGCCAATGATACCATTTAATTAACATATCTAAAGACAAGATAAACTAAAGATAGAGCTACTTCTGAATACAAACCACCTAGTACTAAACACAGCGGTCGTGTCTAATAATAGATCATAATGTATAACTAAACCATTATATTAATACTAGCAACTGACCAACTCATTAGATATGCATACCATTTACCGCAGTAATGACCTAATACATGTACCTATTAATACACCAGTTCCTCTAAATGACTTGGACACCTATTTATATCTCAATCCCCCCGAATGACCAGATTCTTATAATTATTTATATATAACCCTTCTGATGCCTGAAATATGATAATATTATGGTATGATATCACTTTCTACTCTGGACCCTAACCCCAGAACTATCACAAACAATAAACCACTAAACTGGTATGAATACATATAACATCCATACTAATTAATAAAATGTTAACACCAAACATTCACTCCGTAGTAATAAACCATTCCTTCTTGCATTTGCACACTAGAATGGCCTGACACTTGTCTGTATCATTATACTAATATATAACGGGTGCATTGTACACATGTATGTACGTAGTAATAGCGTTTTCAATGTAAAACACCGAAGTTATATAGGCCGAATTCGGATTTTTACTGTCAAAGGGCATATATTTTACAGAGCGAAAGTTTTTCGGGATTTCTGTGAGAGGTTGAGGATATATAACACAATATAATCTTATTTAAAACATTTTGCCTCGTAGCAAATTAGAATATGATTTCAATCTTATTTCTCTTATCCAATTATAACCATAGACATATTTACATTGATGTACGTTTATATATGTACAACAACGACGCATTGCTACCAGATCGAATTGAACAATTTCCTGGCTGCAATCAAGTAAAAAGATTACCAGTAGTAAATGATAAGCGGGGCTTGCCTTACTAACAAAGCACCTTGATTTCTTCTGAATTGGGTTTTCTTAATTAGTATAACATTACAATCAGAACAAAATACTCATAATGCATACATGTGATCCTTGAATGCTTGCCAACGTATGTTGTACAGTAGCTTGACTCTGGTTTAAAAGTCTACCCACTGTAAGGGCACGAGTACGTTATTTAAAGACATTGACAGACTGGTAATTTTCGATCACGTGATAGTGACGTAAGTCGAGATTGTTTACAAAGGGCATATTATTGTACGACGAAGAAGAAGGAAGGAAGATACTATTTTACATAGATCTGCCTTTTATTTTTAACATTTTCTACTTCAGGACTGTTGGAATGAATAAGATAGACAAGTCATAGAACGTGACATAGTACCACGGTAAGTAGACCGTTTCACTGTTTACATGTTAAAGTTGATTCCAGTCAAAACATAACATGATTTGTAAGGAGTGAATCTCAGTGCTGAGTTAGGATATATCTTTCTTCACTAAATGGCTTTTCCAGAATCACGGGACACTTCCCGTCGGGAGAGAATGTTATGCAGGACAATCTCACCTTTCAAGACCAATTAGTTTTCGCTACTTTCTCCATACGTTCTTATGGACCTTTTGTTGAATGTGGTGTCTCCTAAGTTGTTTTAATGTTTGTCTACCGAGGTTCTCCTTGTTTGTTGAGGCGGTGCTGTTATATACATTTTTAAATTACCGCTGTGATATGAATTCCTGCCTTTGCATATGGAGATACTATGTTCCTCTCTTGGTCTGGGATTTTCCATACCTTACAGCACTTTTATTAAATCTAGACAATACATAAAGAAGCGAAAAGAAATCAAACGTGTTCTGAGTGTAAAAATACGACAGTACAGGTCCAGGTTTTGAGCCCTGGACATCCGATATCCATATACTTGTGCTCTGATCAAATCTGGAAACTGAAATACATTGCATTGGTCCTTTTGATTTTCTATATATATATTTATATATATATATATATATATCTAAAGCGATAATAAAGTGAAAAAAGAACTACAGCTACGATCATTATTAAGTGATCGACGACTAGTTACGCGCCAGTGCGTTTCGACAATATACCCAATGTCTTGATTGTACCGCTTGTTATATATGTATATAGTTCTTTACATTATCTGTACAGTACCAGAGACGTACAATACATAATACGTCTCTGATATAACTAACAGGCATTATATACAAAATATGGACACAATTGCTATTCCCAGGCATGACCATTGTCTGGTAAGCAATTATACCTTCTGACACAGACTGATTTTATCATAACTGTGTCCTGAGCTTATTTTTTATATGTATGTGTATTTTGTCAGGCAGCGTTCTTTTGTAAAAACTGCCTAACTGTACACGTAGCCTCATAATAAAGTAGACTACTAATATCTGTTGCATGACACAAACACTGTTTAAATATTCAATACAAAATGACGGCTGCATGATTGGTCAAGTGCACATAAAACACGAGCTTTCAGAATTAGTAAGAATAAATCGATATTAGATAATTGAAATAAGATCAAACATCTTGTTGTTTAAAACTTCTGATAAACTATGTGCACAGAAATCAGCAAACTTATTACCTATTAACCCCCAAAACAATTCCTCTGTTACGGAACTCTTCTTGTTAAAAAGCGAGGTCGATCTCTCGGTTACTTAAGTGTGAAAAAAATAGCAAGAGAATACCGGAGGTCCTGAATTGGAAAGGTTCGGGTCTTTTGTTTCATTGACGACACTCGCCATGTACATCTACGTCAAATGCCAGTATTGTCACGTCCATATATAGAAAAAAGGGAAGTGACTTTTATAATGTCGACCATAGAACCTATCAAATTTGTATCAACTTGCTCCTTTGGAAAACCAAGGGATGTACGTTTGCCAGTTAGTAGTTGACATTATCCTGTAAATGATGATCTAAGGAGCAAAGTCTTGAATACCAAATCAGCTGTGACATGTTAATTTCAAGCCCATAGGGGAACGATCGACGTAAATAATAGATTACGTTTAAAGATAGCACATCGTCCGTATAGAAAGTGGATTTAAGTTTTTTGCACCAGTCCTGATAAGCTCTTTATGAACATAAACCTCGCATAGGAACAACAATAAGTCGTCCAGATGGTTTCCATAGGAATGCCTACATTCTGCTGGAATATTTTGCCACTAAACCCCAAAACCATAATGTTAACCAGGAGCTCATTGATTCTCGCGATTTCATCCTCAGTATATTTTCTTTTGGCATTTGCTGTGCGAAAATAGAATACAACTATATATTTATATCTCGCCTCCAGACTTTCTACGTCTCTTGGCTGTTGTGTGTCATGTTAATTTGTATAATCTCGTGTTATATTAACATCACGAACCTGTATTTATTAGATATACTGATCGTCCTCCTACTGGTAATTGCCGTTCTTGAAACTTGTCCTACTGTGTCCTTCAACTATTGAACTAATCTGAGGACTTAAAGGAACGTTAAAACCTCGTGATGATTTTATGTTTTGTTTTGTTATAGTATACAATATGGACGACCTGATAACATATCGCGCAAGGATTGGCATGTTTTCAATGATTCGTGCTTTAANAGGTAAGCAGACTCTCTTATATTTACATAGAAAGGAAACTCCTTTGTAAGCATTGTTTAAAACTACCCGTTTCACTGCCACTACATTTAAAACCTTACTATAGCAGTCATCTATCATATCAAAGAGAGAATTGAAGTTAAAGTTGTGGGACCGCACAACGCACCAAAAATAGCGTGCACACACCGTGCATACAACGTTCACACACCGTCCGCACATTGTCCACACATGGTGCGCACAACTGTGCGATTTAGCAATCGTTCGCCGCGTTGTGCGCTTCTCTCCGCACAACTGTGCGATTTGGTATCATTTGTAGATCAAAATTACAGATTCACAAAAATACGGAAGGCTTGTATGCGATAATGTACAATGTGTATATATCTGAAATTTCTCATCACAACAGTCAAGATTATACAATTTCACAATGCGTGTTACACAGTATTACAGCGACCAATAGGCTGTCAAGAATGAGTTTGGCTCCAAGGTAACAGAACAGGTAAATAACAATATGATGAGTGTCCGGAGTTTTACCTGACCATGCAGTGCCTGACACACAGAGCTGCTATGCGATACCGTTTGACCGTAATTAATAGTATTTGTTATTTGAATTCGTTTGCCTGTATATAGCCCCCTTCACCTGGATTTTCCCCAGCCTTACCCGACGAGTTACGTAAGTGCCCCAGGCGGTGAGAAAACGACGGTCAAGGTACATTTACAAAGTGGTTATGTTTACCTGTATACGGGATTGTGTTGTAATTTTACATGAGTCGATTAGATTTGTTTAAAAACACAGAAAACACAATTTCTAAATATAAGAATGTATAGACAGAAAGATAAGTTTATAGACGTTGCTAGAATATAGAAACATCAAGCTTACATGTTTAAACATGAAACCGTATAAATTGTTAAGGCATTCCTCAATTTACACCAACCACGATTGTTATCGCACAACGTCCGTCCATCGTGCGCACATATGTGCGCAAGCAATGATTGTCCAGCCTTTTATCGTTCGCCCATCGTGCACACACCGTGCACACATCGTGCGCACACCGCACATCGTGTAACGTTGTGCGATCCCACAACTGTACAAAGACAGTAGGTCAGAGTGCAATTTCATTATTTTACTAGGAGACACATTCGCTAACTTTATGTATTTTTCGTGGAAAAGTTTTTCCGGAAAAAATCCTATCAATATTGAAATATGTTTTTAATTGCGAGAGTTCAAATAATTGAAAATATTATGCAGGCGCATTCTTGAGAAATAAAATGAACGCAAAAAGTTTAGTGATTTGCAGTATTTTCAACAATGTACCGTCTTTTGTTTCTACCCGTTTTTATAATAATTATGGATACTAATCGTGACTATTTTACCCCTTTTCATTGCCTGTTGGTTTGATTTCAAAAGACTACTATTTATTTAACTTACATATATACTTAAATAATTAATTAATACAAACGCATTATACTTTCATTTCAGCAGCAGTCAGGCTGAGTTACATTTTGAAATGGTTGACCAGATTTACAATTCATTTAAACGGACCAGTACATCATTATGGAATAAGTTTAAATATGCACTGAAGTGGAAAACAAGGCTTCCAATGGACTTGTTAGACAATGCAGAAGACATGTTTCGTGTATCCAATCTTCTTGAAGAACACGGAGAGATCAGCCCTGGGTCATATACTAAGTTAAAGGAGTGCTTAGTTGGGAACAGCGAATGTCTGGATATCATAAACAATTTCGAGTATGAAATGAGTATAATGGCATCACACTCTGACCAAGGGCTAGAAGAACAGGGACCAACATCTAATCAAGGTGAGTATAAACAGGTGATAGCTAATAGGTTTTAAAATCCTTTCTTTACACTAGCGGATCTATAGTGGATTTCTGGGCTTTAAGAACATACCCAACCCTTTCGCTCCATTTCCCATCTCCGGGCTGCAATATTTCGTTAATAAAAGAACCCGATTGTTTTCCAGGCAAATCTCTAGAAAAGTGCAGTTTATTTTTTTTTATACACATACAGCTTAATTCCTTTAATATCTTATTGGATGTAACTGTAGCGGATCTGGACAAAGTAACTACACTGTACCGCTTATCTTGTATCTCAGTAGGATATAGCGACTTAATTGTGATGCGATTTTCCAGGTTCGAATCCCTATCTGGCACTGTGCATGTTTAATCTCAGAAAGTTCAGTAAATTTATTCATTCTTGACTACTTTTCATAAAAACTCTGCAGTATGGGTTTCTTTTCAGAAACGATATATTAAAGCATGCTTTCATTTCGGTAAAAGATTAGTTAAAAAGTTGGCGCGTTTTTCCAAACCCTCCTCCCGACGCCCCGAAACTAAGCAGTGCGTAAAATCTCTCCTTCTAGACTGGTCTCCGAATTTACCATTGCTATGATTGCAATGGCTTTAAATATTTTCGGACATCTTTTTCAAGTCAATTAACAGTTTATTTATGTCCAATATTATGTTTCCATAAAGACATGATTATTTTAAGGTTATCATAATTTAATGATAAAATACTTGTACACATCTGTAGCTTTTGAGTGGGCAAATATTGTCAGAACTTTAACTATCAGTTATAATGCTACATTTCTGTCAACTCAGTTGTAGGTAACAGTGCGGAGGGAAATGAAAGGTTTCCTAGTCAGGGTGACAAATCCAATTCTACTGTTCCTACTCGAGAAGAAATGCCCACTTCTATTCCCCACGAAGGACTTGTAACTTCTTCTCTTTCTCGCGAACCAATAAACACTGCTTTCCCTCACGAAGGCGGGCCAATGACCACTACATTACCTAATGAAGGGCAACTGATAACTTGTTTTCCTATTGAAGGACCTGCAGCCCTTATTGATCCTACTGTAGAACCGATGATAGCTTCTTATCCTGACAAAATACCAAGACCTAGTATGGTTTCGGAAGATGGAACACTGACCGCTTCTGTGTCTAAAGGACTAGTAGCCAATATCGATCTTACTGAAGGACAAACGACCAAAACTGTTTCTACTGAAGGACAAAAAGATACTTCTGATTTTACTGAAAGAAATATAACCCCTTCTATTTCTAACGAACCAATGGACACATCTGTTTCTAACGAAGAAAAAATGCCCACTACTGTTCCTACTGAAGGACCGATAATGATTGCTGATTCAAATGAAGGTCCAAATACCACTGGTGTCCATACTGAAAGACCAGTGGCCACAGCTGTTCCTATTGAAGAACAAATAACTAGCAATCTTTCCAGTGAAGAACAACTGGCCATTACTGTTCCTGCTGAAGGATTAAAGGCCACTGCTGTTTCCAGTGAGGGAAACCAGCTACCACTTACAGGTAGTCAAATATGTAGATAGAATTGATAAATATTGACAGTGTCGTTAACAACTCACATGTTGACATTCCTCCGCAGCATATTCTTTGGCCAATGTGCGCTACTATGTACATTTGATGTTTGAATTTAATTTTTTGGAACAGTTTTTTTTTCATGAATCACTAAATTAAAAAAAAGAACTGAAATTGTAACTAAGTAAGGGAAAAACGTGTTTTCTTGCTGGTGATTTTAGTGCATAAATTGTTCCGCTAATATAACCTGTCTACGTAATGTTATGTGATTTTTTCGTCTTTCTTTTAGTCGACTTACACCGGAATTTCCAACAAACAGCCATACAGCAGGCACAGTACACGCGTGTTAAAGCAAGTTATCAGGTTCAGGAGGCACATCATGTTTTCATCGGCAACAACCCCGTGGTTTATAATGTGATTGGTGAGTGAAATTTAAAATACCTTTCAAATCAAATTATAGTAGAATATTTCTTTGATGGTGTGTTCAGCATTCGTTAAAAGACGGGCAGTCGCCTAAGTATGATTAAGGCATAGTTCGAATAAGTAGTTTTATAAAATAGGTTAGGAGTTTTATCCAACGGTTTATTGTAGGATATTTCATTTTACAGATAAACTATTTTCTTAACTCTTAACCACATTACAGTAGACGACAGGCTTCAAATCTGTCGTAATGTTGCTATATAGCGATATTCATTTCACCGGTTTCAAAAGATCATGTTGTAAGCATTTGCCATACCATAACGTCCGCCGTTCGTCCGTCCGTTAACACTTTCTTCAAATGACTTCTCCTGAACAGCTGATTGGAATTTAACCAAAACAAATTTCTAGAGAGCATCCCTAGATGGTGGTTTTCAAAATGTTACAAATTGTGGAGTGGATCATCCAGGGGGCTGAAAGGCGAGGCTGAAAGAGAGTAATTTGGTCATATTACTTTAAACATCTACTCATCTACAGCCAGGCAATACATATCAACCGCATTTGGTTGAAAGCTTTTTCAGGAGAATGTACGTCAACATTGTAATTAAATACTTCCAAGGAAGCTGATGGTGAGGTCTAAAAAAAGGATATTTAGGTGTATTGCTTTAAAAGCCTTCTTGTTCACAACTATGACATTGATATCACTCTAAAACGAGACGAATACTCATATGCTGATAGGATATATACAGAGTATGATCCCACCCATTTGTTGGATATAAAGAGGCAAATACAATTATTATATTAGAACTGACCTCCGTGAAAGTTCAATACAATGTTGCTTTCAAAAGTGGTTTCGGGATTTGCCACCGCTCATAGGGACTGAGACCTGCATGGAGTTATAAGATTGAAAAGCTCAGTTTCATTTCCATATTACCATATATACTATTGCTGAGTAGCACAGAGATGGATACTCATAGTTTCCATGATTGGCTCCAGGACCAGTCCCCTTATTTGGTGACTAAGACCCTCTGTACATAACACTGAAAGCGGTTGAGATCCCTACCCCATCCCATAACTACTGTCCATGCACATTTTTATACAGATATGCTACCAGATATCCAATTGCAAGTAATTAAGAGATGAACAAAATGTTCACCCTACATGCCCAATGCCAGGTATAAAATTTTGAGTAGATTTGGTACAGGTATGCTATTGCGATTAGCCGAGGATCCCGGATGGCCCTAGATCTGGGATTGTGTGCGCAATTCTACTTTTGATATAATACATTGCCATGCCCATGGTTGCTAATAGCCAGGTGAGCGACACATGCCTTCCGTGCCATTTCTTCTTCATGTTAAACCAAACTCTTGTCTCAATGCATCATCATAGAGAGAGAAATCAGATACATGTATCTCCAAATAGTAAACGTAAAAACATTGCCAATAGATATATCATCTGTAAAATATCACATTGCTAGAAAAGCAAACTTGACAGCGGATAATATTTGCTTCGTGTCAATGACTGTATAACAATATCAGCATTAAGTTAAAAAACTTTGTATATTGATAGTTACTTCGCCTTTAATAACAACGAGATTTTTTCACTACCACAGAACGACAAACATGAATACATTTAATACATGCATGGCAACTTTCCTTTCCTTGTTGACAAATCAGCTGCATTCAGACCAGCTTATAATTAAGTCGGTTATAAGGGTGGATGCATTATAGGAAGGTACATTCTACAGACCATCGTTTTCGTTATACTTTAGTCATTTTGAAATTGGATTATGTGGAAAATTGAATGGTGATTTATGTTTTTCTTGTAATTAATATCGTGCATTTTTTTATATCGCTTAAAGGTGTTTTGCTAGCAAGATAATCAATCAGTTGGTGGTGTTGCATAGATTTTATAAAGTATATTCGCTTTGATTTCAGGAAGTTATCTAGTACATATGTATATATATTGTGAAAATAACTACAGTGGTGTGTTTCTTAAATTTGATAAATCTTTAAAACCTTAAATCATTCTATGTACCTGTAATTGCATGCATTTTTCATTGAACATGGGTTATACATGTCTTCAACAACAGGATATTTGAAATATATTGACAGTCCCAAGGCATTATTTTTTTCCGGATTTGACTTTACTTGGTTACGGTTTTCTTACTTAGAAAATTAATTCTATATGTAGTCATATAATTATTAGCTCACCTCAAGGTGAGCTTATGCCATACCGTTGCGTCCGTCGTCCGTCCGTCGTCCGTACCTCCGTCAACAATTTCTTTAAACGACTTCTTCTTCTTAACCACTGATTGGAATTCAACCAAATTTGACTGCAATCATCCCTAGGTGGTGGGGATTCAAAATTGTACAAATGGTGGGGCTGACCCCCCAAGGGGCTGACCCCCCAAGGGGCTGAAGAGCGGGGCCAAAAGGGGTCAATTTGGCTATATTGCTTTAAGCGACTTCTTTTCTGGAACCAAGAAGTGGAAATCAACCATATTTAACTGGAAGCATCCCTGGGTGGTGGGGATTCAAAATTGTACAAATGGTGGGGCTGACCCCCTGAGGGCTAAAGGGCAGGGCAAAAAGGGGTCAATTTGGCTATACTGCATTAAGCGACTTCTCTTGAACTAAGAAATGGATATCAACCATATTTGACTGGAAGCATCCCTGGGTGGTGGGAATTCAAAATTGTACAAATTGTGGGGCTGACCCCCAGGGGGCTAAGGCCAGGGCCAATATGGGCCAATTTGGCTATACACAACTTTTGTAGAACTATGCCATGGATATTGATCATACTTGGTCGGAAGCATTCATGGGAGGCAGGGATTCAACATTGTACAAATGGTGGGGCTGACCCCCCGGGCTAAGTGGTTGGGCCAAAAAAAGTGTATTACTTGGAAATGGTTGTAATCCCCACCAAAAAACCATGGTATACAATTGCTGGGTATAAAGTGAAGAATGCACATTTGCTTCCAGGATGGCGCTAGGGTCTGGCCCAACCCTTGGAGACATAGTCCCTGGGACATAACTTTAAAACTATTGAGATCCCCACACCAAAACGATATATACAAATGCTGGGCATAAAGAGACGAATGCAGTCAGGATATTAGAATTGACCCCAGGGTCTGCCCCACCCTTGCAGACTTAACCCCTGGGTCACTTTGAAACGGTTAAGATCCCCAACCCAAAACTATATATACAAATGCTGGGCAAAAAATGACAAATGCAGTCACGATATTATAATTGATCCTGGGGTCTGGCCACAACCCTAGGGCCCTAGTTTCTAAGTCAAAGCTTGGAAACAGTTGAGATCCCCACCCCATAACCATACATGAAATTGCTGGGCATGAAAAATCTAATACAGATATGCTACAAGGATTGGCCTTGGGGTCTGGCATATTCCCCTGATCTCATTTGGAGAATATTTTGCCATGATTGCTTAGGTATCCAGGTGAGCGATACATGCCCTCTGGGCCTCTTGTTTTCCATTTACTTCAATCATTCGGTTTATCTGTACAGACACAGGAGATAACGACGGTATTCAACAAACTTTGGAAGGTATAGAATCTACTCAAGACAAAGTTACAGAGATAATATATGACCGAACGAAGAGTATACAAAATGAAATCAAATCTACCGGCCAGCAGCTTACAGAAACGGTGAATAAACGAGCGGAAGATGTGCAAATCGCTCTGGAAGGTGCAGAAAAAAGACTTACAAAATCAATGAATAACAACAAGACGAGTGTACAGCATATCTTGGCTAGTGTCGAGGAGTTAAGGAATATCACGATAAAGCAAACAACACTACTGGAAGAACTTGGTAAGCAATGCTGGAATATTATTGAATGTAGTTTTTCGAAATATTGTATTTCAAACACTGATTATGCGTTGTTTACGGGGTCCGTTCGTCTGTTACAGTACATTAAGATTACAGTATACTCTATATCTAAGTAACTTTAAGAGGTATACAGATAATAATCCCGTTCCTGGTATAGCTAGACTCACTCTACTGAACGCATTTAAGAGATGATAAATTTGGCATACACTTTACGGATCAGTGACTGTCTAATATTTTTTCATATATCACATATACATATCATAATATTTAGTCAGTATCTGGGTAACTAAGAGTGCCACGTGAATAATACTTACATCAGTGATGTAGTTAAATTTGCGTTAGGGTACTTAATCTGCCCTACATTTTACGCTCAAGAAGAAAAGGTAAAACTCATTTACTAACGTAGAGTTAAAACAGTTCTTTTTACTCTAACCAGATGGTCATAACTGCTACTTTTTAATTCACTGAACTACATAAGTGTTTGGTGTTATTTTTATCATAAAAATAATATTGAGCGATTACCAAAGAATATAGCAATATGCATTTTAGCGCTCCGTACCATTCACATTTGTATGCTTTATCGTAACTTGGACAACAACAAATATAGGGGGGTGGGGGTTATACTGGAATCACCCTGTCCGGAAAACTCCATCTTAACAAACAGGCAGATTTTATTGAAACTTCACTTGAATGATCAGTATATTATGTAGTTGTGCACCGGCATTTTAATTTCAGATTTTAACACTTTTAATAAGTTGTCCGGAAACCCCAAGGTCAAGGTCACTTAATGACAAATATACTACCTGCATCGGCGGCGGTATTAGTTATCCGCGGATGACTGTTCTTGAAACTATGTTTTGAATTAATTGATATTTATGAAAAGAAGTTACAGCATTAATAGTCACAGCACTTCGAATCCACATTTGAATGGTCATAAGCCATCGAGAAATAATTCCATAAATAATAAGTAACATTTGTTAACCAATACCCAGAGCGAAACTTTCATAGCCGTTTTGTTTTCTTCTCAGACTCAAAGATTGACACTGGGAAACAAGCTAACATCATTGGTAAGTTAACGTTTGATTGTTTGTCAAGTTGTTTGAAAAAGTATTACATGGATTCAGGTGTATTACACTTCATTCGGCCACATTATACTGACAATAGGTGTTCGCGACATAATTTCTCACCCCAGCACGATTTTTCAGCCGGATGAGAAATCGTGTTTGGAGTAGACATATTGCCCGTTGTCATGGGTACGACCGCAGATATTATTTTTTTTTTGGCGATTTAGGTATATGAGTCTCATATATAAATTTAGAAACTACTGCGTAAACACTAATGATATTCGATATTAAGTTTTTCGAACAGGCCAACATCAATGTCTCTTATTTGCTGAGACTTAGCGACTTATAATAATTTCTGTTTTATTTTTTTTACCGCAATTAAGATTGGTAAAGGGATATTTTGATGCTCTTCTTGAACATGGGGAAAACGATGTCAACAGTTTCCGCAAAATCGCTGCTGCAGACTATAAGAGGCCTTGATTTCGGTCTGTCCGGAAACTTAATATCGATTATTGGCATTAGCCTTATATATACCACAATCGTCAACAAACAAATCCAATGGTCTTACCCATGACAACGAGCAATATGTCTACTCCTAACATCTGGATGAGAAATCGTGTTGCGAACACAGCGATTTTAGCACGATTTTTCACCTGGGTAAGAAATTGTGTCGGGGTGAGAAATCATGCCGTAACACCCCCTGACTAAATGACAATTTAAAACACGAAGGCCAGCAAAGGTCAAAATCAAAGACATATGTTGCATGTACCCTTTTTAGGATCTTAATAACAATACATTTTTACATCAAAGGTCAACTTTGTTTTTATTTCAACATTTGTGAAGGGATTTCTAGAACCTCGAGGAATATATAGTTATAAGTACCGTTTTTTTAGCTCACATGACTCGTCGTTCGTCTGTCGTCCTTCAACTTTTTCTTTTAAACGACTTCTAAAGAACTGGAGGACCTAAGGTCAGGATATTTAGCCAGTAGGTACCTGGGATGGAGTGCTATACATTTTCCTCATTAAAATGACCTTGATTTACTTTCAAAGTCACATGGGTCAAATATGTTGAAAACTTCAAACAACAATATTCTAAGAACCATTTGGACTAGAGTCATGATACTTAGTAATGTTATATAGACCAGCAGTGCATATATTTTTCTTAATTACAGTAATAAAGGTCAAAGGTCACCTTTAAGTGCTAGTCGGTGGTCAAACATTAACATGGGTTAAAAGCTTTAAAATTCTTCTCAAGTTCCTTAAAGCCTAGGGTCAGGATATTTGGCCTTTAGGTACCTGGGATGAAGTGTTATACAGTTTCCTCATTTAAATGACCTTGACCTACTTTCAAGGTCACGGGAGTCAAATATAAAAAAAATTCAAACAACAGTATCCTTAGAACCGTTTGGACTAGTCATGTTACTTAGTAATGTTATGTAGAACAGCAGTGCGATACGTTTTCTTTGCTACAGTTATGAGGTCAAAGGTCCACTTTAAGTGCTAGTCGGAGGTCAATCGTTAACATGGGTTAAACGCTTAAACAGTCTTCTACTTAAGTTCGATACGGCCCAGGTCGTCATATTTGGCCATTAGGTACCTGAAATGGAGTGCTATACATTTTCCTCATTAAAATGACCTTGACTTACTTTCAAGGTCACATGGGTCAAATATGTTTAAAACTTCAAACAACAATATCCTAAGAACCGTTTGGACTAGAGTCATGATACTTGGGTATATTATGTAAACAAGCAGTGCGAATCTGTTTTTTTTTTAAATTACAATAATGAGGTCAAAAGTCAACTTTAAGTGCTAGTCGGGGGTGAACGCCATTGGTAAAAAGCTTTAACAATCTTCTGAAGTTCCGTAAGGCCCGGGTCATGATATTTGGCCAGTAGGTACCTGGGATGGAGTGCTATGCAGTTTCCTCATTAATATGCCCTTGACCTACTTTCAAGGTCACATGGTTCAAATATGTTAAAACTTCAAACAACAATATCCTAAGAAGCATTTGGTCTAGAGTCATGATACTTAGTAATGTTATGTAGATCAGCAGTGCAAATCTTTTTTTTTATTACAGTAATGAAGTCAAATGTCAACTTTGCCAGCCGGAGTCAAAGGTCAACTCGGGTTAAAAGCTTAAGATAACAATTGCAAATTTCAAACAACAATTTCTTATGAAGCGTTTTAGAGATGTTAAAATGTCTTGTGTTCTCGTTACCAAATTTGGTGTGAAGTTACCTATATGTCAGTTCCATGTAACAAAAGGAACAGGTGAGCGATACAGGCCCTCCGGGCCTCTTGTTTTAGGTAGTTCTTTTGTTTGTTAAGAAACATTCATTTAATGGAAATGTTTCTGATATTTGAAATTTAATTTAAAATTTCCTATTTGTTTCCCATCATAGCTCAGACTGAATCTTGGATCTCTTACCAAAGAAAGACTACCCCATTCCTTCAAACGAAAGTTTTCGAAGATGCTAGAAAGAAATTGTGCAAAAGTAAAGTTCTTATTGTGAAAGGAAATGCGGGAGACTGTAAGACACATCTTGCTTTGGCATTGTTGGCGTGGCTTGGAGGGGAAGAATATTGGAAACCGGAAATAGATCGCAGTGATCTTAAATTAGGAGAGGGAATGCCATCTAAAAAGAAACCTTTGCATTTGAAATCATTGACACTTTGGGATGAAGTTGTTGCACCAAATTCACAATTAGCCATTTTTGTTGATGATCTATTTGGGAACGATTTTCATACTGCAAATGAAATGGGCGAGTTGAAAAAGTGTGAAAACTATATCATACCAGTTGTTGAGGGTGATTTGTGTGAAAGTGCAAACTGTATTATCATTACTGTCAGAAATGATATTTATCTCCAATATTTAGAGTCATTTTCTAGAAAAGACATTTTTTGTACAGACAATACAATTGATTTAAGCACTACTGAATACAGTCTAGAACAAGAAAAGACCCAACAACTTTTCTTGTATACACCAAAATCTGATTTTGAACATTTTTCTGAGAGAGAAATTATTAAGTGTTCTTCGAATCCTGGGAACAATGATACAGGTATGAACCTCCTAAAAGCAGTCGTTTCAGAAGATCTTGTCAGAGTCAAGCAGTTGTTAAAAGAATATCAGCCTTTGTTGTATTGGAGCATGCGTGGTATCAACATACTCCATAAAGCAGCAAGAACAGGGAATATCACACTGTTTACAACATTATTAGAGGCATTGTTAGGAGGTAAAAGTAGGCAGGAGTGTATGGCTTTGATGAATGGCGAAGATGGTGGAACTGTATTGCATGTATCATGTGTTTACGGACATACAAAGTTATGCAAGTATTTATGTGACAAATATCCATCTTTACTGTCACAGAGAGATACAGATAATATCCACTGTCTCCATTATGCTGCCATGTCTGGGAGTTTAAGTTGTTACCAGGCAATAGAACGTTATGTATTAAAAGGAAAATCAGACACAGAACGGGAACAGTTTATGGAAACACTGACAGGTAAGAAGATGGAGACTGTCTTACACTGGGCATGTGCGTTTGGAAGAGAGGAGTTATGTATGCATGTATGTAACAAATATCCGTCTTTGATAACACAAAGAGACGCATTCAATAGGCATTGTCTCCATTACGCTGCCTGGTCTGGTAATATTAGCTGTTACCAAGCCATGGAATCTCTGGTGTTAGACGGAATGTCTTGCGAAACACGCGAACAGTATATGACGACACAGGCAGTTGGAACAGACATCACTGTTTTACATACCGCGTGTGAGCAAGGAAATACAGAAATGTGTTTGTATTTATGTAAGATATATCCATCCTTAATGACGGAGAAAACTGCAGATGGCATAAGTTGCCTTCACTTGGCCGCTTACTTTGCAAGTTTAAGTTGTTACCAAGCAATAGAATCTCTTGTGTTGAATGGAATATCAGCAGAAAAACGGGAACAATACATGGCGACACTGACAGATACTAGCGAGAGAACTGTCTTACATATGGCATGTTTAGGAGGTAGGACAAATCAGATTATATATTTAAATAACGCATATCCGTCCTTGATAACACAGAGAGACTCAGATAACAATCATTGTCTCCATCACGCTACCGTTTCTGGTAATATTAGCTGTTACCAAGCCATGGAATCTCTGGTGTTAGACGGAATGTCTTGCGAAACACGCGAGCAGTATATAACGACACTGACAGGTGTTTACAACTACAATGTTTTACATATGGCGTGTGAAAAAGAACACATAGAAATGTGTATGTATTTATGTAAGATGTATCCATCCTTAATGGCGAAGAAAACTGAAGATGGCAAAAATTGTCTTCAAATTGCTGCTTACTCTGGAAGTTTAAATTGTTACCAAGCAATAGAATCTTTTGTGTTAAACGGAATATCAGAGGAAAAACGGGAACAATACATGAAAGCACTGACAGATATGCACGAGAGAACTGTATTACAAAGGGCCTGTTTAGAAGGTAGAACAGAACTATGCGAGTATTTAGGTAGAACATATCCGTCTTTGATGACACAGAAAGACGCACATAACGCTCATTGTCTACACTTCGCTGCCTCATCAGGAAATTTAGGTTGTTACAAAACAATGGAATATCTTGTGTTGGAGTTTAATTCAGAGGTAAAACGCAACATGGCGAAACTGACAGATATTAACGGGAGAACTGTCTTACACTTGGCATGTGTAGCAGGAAGTAAAGAGCTTTGTATGTACTTAAGTGACACATTTCCAGTTTTGATTGAACAGAGAGACGCACAAAACTATCATTGCCTTCACTATGCAGCCAGATCAGGAAATTTAGGTTGTTACCAAAAAATGGAATCTCTGGCGTTGAATGGTAAATCAGAGGAAAATCGCAAGCAATACATAGCGACACTGACATATATTGACGAGCGAACTGTCTTACACTTGGCATGTGTAGCAGGAAATGAAAAAATATGTATGTATTTAAGTAACACATATCCGCTTTTGATGAAACAGACAGACACAAAAAACAACCACTGCCTCCATTTCGCTGCTATGTCAGGAAATTTAAGTTGTTACAAGGTAATGGAATCGCTGGTTTTGAAAATCATAGAAGATGGAAAACGGGAACAATATATGGCGACACTGACAAATGTGGACAATCACACTGTCTTACATATGGCACGTTTGAGTGGTAATACAGATTTATATGGGTACTTAAGTAAAATGTATCCATTGATGTTGACGAGGGATGCGCGTTTTGTCTATGGTTTAACAGCTGCTACAGTTTCAGGGAATTTAAGTACAGAGAATAAAATGTCTGAACGATAGAACAGGGATGTGTAGGTATCTCATTATAAATTCCCTCTTTATTGACCCATAGTGCAAAGAGAATGCAATACGTGGGGTGAAAGTATCACATCATTGGTCATGTGGCCACTATTGTGACGTAACTGATCTGTTTGTGAAAACATTTTTGACCTCGATGTTCCAGGAACTACCATGAACATTTACTATGGTTAAATGAGTTAAATTACTGAATTAAGCCTGAGTTCTGTAGTTAAATGTAAATACATGTATAAGCAATAAACGTTTTGACAAATGGTGAAATGGTCAAGCATGCATGGTCACTTCTGACAAATGAACACATTGCCCTGGCGGGGTTACTTAAGCCTAATGAGCAATAGGAATGGCTGTTATCGGACCAAAACACCATTTCGTTACAACATTTATTGCTTTCATGTAACATATGCCCATCTTTGATGACACAGAGAGATGAGAAGAACGTCAAATGTAGTGTTTCCAGGTTATCGATTGTTACATATTAAAAGGAAAATTGTGAGAGAAACGGAAACTTTATATAAAGAAACTAACATATAGATGGAGTAACTGTTATGCACGTTGCATGTTGAGAAGGTAGAAAACAAGTGATAACATTTGTTATTGTTGTCTTTTGTTACGATAATATGTAATATTCAGCTTATAGTTTTCGTTCTTATTTATCAAACAGATTCGTTACGTATGAGGATAAAATGAAGACATGTTATGATACTCATCTGTATATATTTACAATTAATAATATTTTAAAGATGTTTTGTAATATTCAGGTAATAATCTTTGTTCTTATCTATCAAACAGATTCGTTACGTTTGAGGATAAAATGAAGACATGCAATGATATTCATCTGTATATATTTTACTTAATGACATGTTCTCATCAAATGGTTGAAAGTTATATATTTTATTTAGCAGACATTTCAGACATTACGGCGACTTATTTTATGTTGATAAATTTTGTTAATTCTTTACGAGTTAAATTGGACGTGTTGATGACGTCAACTTATCAGAGGGTGGCTTCATTACACAACTGTTGCTCTTGTAAGCGAAAAGAAACGTGAATTTGTCTTTTTCGAGGCTTGTCTTATTTTCCGGAGATGAAGCTTGAGGGAAAATTTGAAAAATGAAAATACCTCGATTCTTATAAAACTAAATGAAAATATATTTAGACTGACGAATTTTGGGAGTGCAAAGCTTCAAATTGAAATAGAAAGAAAAACGTCCACGGCTCTTTATATCAAACTAAAATAAGAGACACACTATTGTTAAATGATGTTGAATAATAATAAGATTAATTGATGAATGTTGTGTAAATACTAAATTATATTATTGTTTCTTATTCATTATGCCTTCGTAGTAATTTGTATCTGAAATCCATTTTTCGCCGACAATTATAAATGTTTCTCTATGCATTTTAGGCTCTTTGCAGAGACGTCATGTTCATACCACCCCATATTTATTCATTTTATGTGCACATTGAGGGATTATCTTCTTGCTTAATGTATAATGGTGATTGTAAGCCTTTTTTGATTAGCAACTATAACTAATATTATTATGCATATGTTGTAAAGCGCTTAAAGAGTAATTTTACAAAGTATACAGGGCGCTATATATAAATGTTGTATATTGTTATTTATTATTAATGAACAAAATTTATTGTTTTAGTTTCTTGCATTGTGCCTTCTGTCCTTTAAACTTTTTAGAATATCGCGTTTGGTTAATAACTTCACACAACGAGAAAAACCTTGTATCTAAATACGAATAATAAAAAACAGTCGTCAAAGGTGAAAGATGATATCTGAAGATAGTTGAAAACAGACTAAGATTTAGAATGTGTACTTTATGTCATGGCATGAAGGCATACGTTCTCAATTGCCAATTATCCTAGAAATGTGTGATATAGTTTGAGGTTATCCACTGTCTTCATCTATCGGCTCTCATCATTGATACTTACTTTGCATTAAACGTATTATGATAGGAGGAACATAACTTGTGATGACTTTAAATAGGAGATACATGTACTGTTTTAATTTTTTATAGGAGATATATATACTGTGATGACTTTATATAAATGTAGGAGGTAAATGTATTGTTTTAATTTTATATAAGAGGTATATATCCTGTGATGACTTTATATAGGCGGTATATGTACTGTGTTGATTTTATATAGGAGGTATATATACTGTGATGACTTTATATAAGAGGTATATATCCTGTGATGACTTTATATAGGCGGTATATGTACTGTGTTGATTTTATATAGGAGGTATATATACTGTGATGACTTTATATAAGAGGTATATATCCTGTGATGACTTTATATAGGCGGTATATGTACTGTGTTGATTTTATATAGTAGGTATATATACTGTGATGACTTTATATAAGAGGTATATATCCTGTGATGACTTTATATAGGCGGTATATGTACTGTGTTGATTTTATATAGGAGGTATATATACTGTGATGACTTTATATAAGAGGTATATATCCTGTGACGACTTTATATAGGCGGTATATGTACTGTGTTGATTTTATATAGTAGGTATATATACTATGATGACTTAATATAGGCGGTATATGTACTGTGTTGCTTTTATATAGGAGGTATATATACTGTGATGACTTTATATAAGAGGTATATATCCTGTGACGACTTTATATAGGCGGTATATGTACTGTGCTGATTTTATATAGGAGCCATACATTGTGTTTGCGTTATTTGTGGGTATTGATGACATTAATCTGTCAACACTGTCGATATGATTCGATATATTTTATTTAATATTTGTTTAGATAGAAACACTGAATGATCTGCCAACACTAATTACAATGACATATATTTAGCATGTATTTAGCTGCCTCCCCAATTCAGCATGCAAAATAAATCCGACGAACTACTGGATAAATCACGATTAAACCACAGCTGGTTAGTTTCACATTTGTGGTTTCCTTCAATATTTAGGTAACACCGTACACATATCTCCTATATAATGTAATCACAGTACATATACATTCTGTAGAAATGTCAACAAAGAACATTTACATTTTACGCCGTTTGATTACCAATAACTCATGCAATCTGCCGGTCAATTATATGATGCACGTCTGCTATTTAAACAACAGTGAAGAAGCAGATATATAAGGCAAGCAACGAGGTGTTATTCTAATACTTAATACAAATATGAGTTGTTGTTAAAATGCATTCATTTTTTGTTGTTGAGTTCAAACATGATAAAAAAAACTGACTAAATTTAATGTGTTGGTCGTGCATGAGAAGACTTCAATGAGTTTGTGTCTCATAAGTCAAGGTCAAGATCGACATCAATATTTATAGAAAGTCAAGTATGACATACTTACTCATATACAAATCTAATCTCCCTTATCCAATATATTACAAGCGTTATGTACATGTGTACCAAGCGTGAAAGGATTTGTATAATTTGTGATGTCTTGTTATCAGCGTGATATTTTTCCACTAATTAATTGTATATAATTATATGCTGATAAAGTACATTTGCATGCACATGTAATAAATTTCATATTTGTACTATTTTTACATTTAATTTTATACTTGTACATGAATATGTCAATGTGGTACATGTATATGCGCATACACGGATGATGCATTATTATAATTTTGAAGTCTTTTTTTAATAATTGTATTTGTCACCCTGTTAATTAGTAACACTCTTTCTGATTGGATATCTTCCCGGGGTCTATATTTCTATAGGACCCGCTCTGCCGGGGTTTATAAAACACGTGTAAAGGGAGATAATTCAATCTAGAAAATCTCTCTATAACAACAATGATGGCGTCCGACACAAACAAGTATTCGAGGTTTGCCACTCATTCGGAGGATGATAAAGCCTACAAAAAGTCTTAAACGACAGCAAATTCAATTAAAAAGGCAATGAGGGGCCGCTAGGATCCACAAATATAAATGCATGTTGAAAATTTAGTTGTGAATTGTCCGAAATATTGCCAAAAAGGTGTCCGGTAGTTTTATTTTTGAGTGAACAGCCAAGTATAAGTCAAACTCACAAAATGACTTATAATTTTAAAGAAAAAGTAGTTAAAGATTGTCAGGGTGACAAATTCGTTATCTCTGAGTAATGAGGATTCTACTAGCTCATAGACTCCGTTTGGTCTTCATAGACCAGACGACATATATGAGCCCGTAGACCCCTCCTTACCCAGAGAAAACTAATAATGTGAATTGGTACGTATACATACACTGGTATTAAATATGACAGTATGTCCTGATGAGCTGTGAATCTTGATGAACACTGATGATTCGTAAGAAGTATACTTAATTGATATACTTATGTAAACATTGAAGAAATAACGTGCATTTTTTAACATGTGCGGCTGGGAGCTGCGTGCGCAATCGATTCCTGCGTGGAAGACTATAGGGTGATAAACCCATGTACTTTAATGTCAGAAACTCTAGGATTGATCGGCACTTATCCCTCAACTGCATTTGTATATAGCAGCATCTATGAAATGTATGTCATTACCAACTTTATAATCAAATTACAAGACATTATATTGAGTAAATGTTAAATATATGATAAACTTGATCTTACTATTCATAACAAGAAACCTATCACACGGGTGACGGGAAGTGGTTTCAGATGGATTTTGAACAAATGTATGAGTAAAAGACGCGGGTCGATATATTGTAATTATTATATTTTATGTGATAATCTCTATAATTTGTTAGGATGTTCGCCCATTCCGTAAGCCTTCCACTCCAGTGTCGAATAACAAGGGAAAATAGAATTTGCATTTTGTTTTCGAAATTGATAAAGCTAAATGGGATATTCTTAAAGACAGGCAACAGTCGCTTTCTCAGATCAGTTTATTTAGTGTCTGAAAATAAATGCGACAACTTTTTCGATTGGAAGTCAAAAGTAAATTTGCAGCACTTTGAGTAATCAGCATCTTTGACTTGGAGATGATTGTTATTTAAGCTATTATATAGATGGGACTTTATTGTTGGCTGCTTAATCAATTAAATTGACAGAAAATTCCTTCTTGGTCGTCTATTTTGAGGAAAGTATTTTTTATCGTTATAAAAGGTATAGTTACAAAAAACAATCCATATTCACCGGTAAACTGTAATAATGTTTTACTATCTCAGCAATATTAACCTAAATATGTGTTTGTATAATTCATTTCAGTGTATGCACGTTTAACAGGCTTTGTAAAAAAAAAAGTTTGTATTGTAGCAATACTGGCAATCTGATATCATCCTATGATGAGAATGAAGTATTTTATATATATATAATAAAGATTAAATGTCTATGTGTAATAGGCATTTATAGAAAAAATTAGATCTAACGACCAACTAAAAAATCAGCTGCGAATGCTTTCACCCTTCACATGGCTTCTATTGTAGTGTATGGACATACAATTGTTAAGTCACAATGTTGTCCTATTGAAATAAACCTGAAGAGCCATATGAAGGGAGAACAGCTGTTTTTTGAAGGTCGTTAGATCTTATTTTTCCTATATATATAAAGTATTTTAGCATGAAAATATGAATTAATTGATATTAAATGGTGGCGTATAAGATTAAAATGTAATCGTACTAATTTGTTTGTACAATTTATAAATTCATTAGCAACGATTGCCAGTTGTCATACTGACCCGCTATAATATTGTAAATATTTTATATAGTTTGTCATACATATAACTATTTACATTGTACTTTGTTGTATATTATATCGATATTGTGTGAATATTTTTCAATTAAATGTCAAACATTGAAAATGTCAACAAAACTGGGTATTTGTTTTTCTAGAAAGGTACGTCTTGACAAATTTGCAAAAGAATGGCATACACTTGTCTTCCTCCTCACAGCTTTAACTGTGCAAGGAATATTGTACTATGCATTGCTTATTGTAGTCATGTTAGAAAAATAAACTTAATCAGCTGTCAACCGTCAGTAAACGTCCATTTCGTAAAAAAGAACAAATATCTTTATTACATTAATTAGCAGCAATAAAACTTTTTATAAAACTTCAGTGTATTCTACAATACATATGATCATTTTCTATTTCAATCTAGTCAACATTGTCTATCTCAAATATAACATCCGTTTAATATTTAAATATGTTAAGGGTTAAGTATTTAATAACCATATCAAATGAATGAATGAAATATATCGCTTACGATCACGTTACTTTACACCAAATGCGGACACGCGTCATAAGTATCCAATATTAACAACAACAAAAATATTTGACGATAAGGCATTAATTTTGACACCAATGATAGTAAAATAAGGAATAAAGAAAATTAAAGAAAATTCTGAAGTGTCTCACGAAGCCGTAATTCGGATTTTAAAGCGATAATGCTGGTGCAAAATATTAACAAATGAAAGCTGTTAAAAACATAGCAGAATAAGACCAAGCAATGTTTCTGCACCTTTTGAATCAAGGAAAAACAAGGAGACCAAGGTTCGATAACCTGATCAAGCATGAAAACGTGGGTTTTTTTTCTGGATTCTTTCACGAAAGTTAGGTTGATAGTATTTGTAAAATAAATAACGCATACACATGTAACTGAAAAACCCCGTAAAAGACCAAAATCTTTAACTCGAAGTCGATGAAAACACCACAACTAACGCCAAAACTTAATAAAGTTCCCAGAAACAAACCTGAAAGGAAACAAAGTAGTCCCAGATGTATCAACGTGGCACAAGTCAATGCGTCGCCCGTCAATTTTAGGAAAGAATAAGTATGTTATCAACAATCTTAGAAAATAAAAAATGCAAAAGCGCCAAAATATTGCCAAAAAACTTGCGTAAAACTCTATTCACCTACATTAAAATTCTCCTCACACATTATTTTTCAGACACCTTAAAGAATCATGGTATCATTGCTAGAAAAAAATCGTAACAAAATGCCGATACGACAAGGAACCAATAAAATACAAAACTGATAAAAGGACAGCCCGAGACACAACAGAATACCTGGAGGGCAACTTAGTTCGAATCAAGTACTCATTTAACTACACTATATACTAGACTTTATTTTGAAAAATAATTCATCCTAATCCTTTTTGTGACATTATTATTATTCTTTCAAATATCAAATTTACATTAAAAACCATCAAGAATTAAAAAAAAACACCTTGTGAGAGGTATTTTGCAGGATTTGCACGATTGGAGACAATCGCAACCGTAAGTTTCGATTGCATTCATTGAATAAACATTCCAGCAACCATCTGCTGCAACATCCCAATTAGCTTATGTCAGGTTATTATAAGGGAAATTAACGTTTTGCTTATATGTCTTATTTGTTGAACTAACATCTATATTTCATTACATCTATCTGTAAATCAAAAAAAATAATGATATATTGTTTTATGCTAACAGAAATATAAACAATATCTCCAATTTTGTCGTCGATACCCCTCCCATTGTAAATTACGAGAAGAGTTTTGTTTTACAATACATTAACCTATGGAAAGAATACACATGTACACTCATTTAACTAAAGGGGCATGTACCCCACTCTTCTAGTGTTGGAAGAGTTTGCGTTCCTAATTACTGCAAATTATTTCACTCTTGAAGAATCATTATACGAGTCTGTCCTTCAAATGCCTAATATTGCATTTTTTCATAGAAGATATTAGAAGATATATCGGAATACACATCTTTGAGGTACTTCTCGAGAAATAAGGCAAAACATACTCCTCGAATGCTGCACGAGTTAGGTAGTCATATTTATAATGATGTTATGGAAAATATGTATTTCGCAAGATTATAATGTTTCCAACAAATAGTTTCATGTTGTTTTCATACTGACAAACACCGGTACCGTGGTACATACTGACAAACACCGGTACCGTGGCAGCGACAAACACCGGTACCGTGGTAGCGAATCAGGTATGTCGTTTGTATCCTGACAAACACCGGTACCGTGGTAGCGAATCAGGTGTGTCGTTTGTATCCTGACAAACACCAGTACCGTGGTAGCGAATCAGGTGTGTCGTTTGTATCCTGACAAACACCGGTACCGTGGTAGCGAATCAGGTATGCTGTTTTCATACTGACAAACACCGGTACCGTGGTAGCGACAAACACCGGTACCGTGGTAGCGAATCAGGTATGTTGTTTTCATACTGACAAACACCGGTACCGTGGTAGCGACAAACATCGGTACCGTGGTACATAATGACAAACACTGGTACCGTGGTACATAATGACATACACTGGTACCGTGGTACATACCGACAAACACCGGTACCGTGGTACATACTGACAAACACCGGTATCGTGGTACATACTGACAAACACCGGTACCGTGGTACATACTGACAAACACCGGTACCGTGGTAGCGAATCAGGTGTGTCGTTTGTATCCTGACAAACACCAGTACCGTGGTAGCGAATCAGGTGTGTCGTTTGTATCCTGACAAACACCGGTACCGTGGTAGCGAATCAGGTATTTCGTTTGTATCCTGACAAAGTGTTGGAATCTATTCGTATGGATAGAATGTATCTGTTAAATGTTTATTGTTTGGACTTTGTAACAAACATCATCACCATGCTATGGCTTCTTCAACGGAACTACTACTTTATTGCATTTTGATTGGCTGATATTACAGCAGTGTATAATTGACGGACTGTAAGACTGGCTCTAGATCCGAAACATTAGATCTCATGTTCTAAGGGAAGTAACGCTTAAAACAGGTACAATACAGTTAACAAGCCTGAAGTTATATATGTGACAGACTTAATATCGTAAGTAAAATCGGTGACTCCCGCTTATTACGGTATGACATGGCTAATGTATGTGACTGATAACTTGATCTGATATATATTTGTAGATACAGGTGATAGTGCAACATTAACGATACTTTAAGCTATGTTACGCACACATGTCATCACTTAATACTAGGCTTATAAAAGCTATTTTGAACATTGATATTTCGGTCTACATCCTGTTCTCCTATGCCGTCATAAGTTAAGTGTAATCGTAATATATACCACAGCTCAGACAAGGTTAAAATATGGCGTCATCGCCATAAATATATGATGTCAAACCGAACATGCATTTGAGTTATCATTGAGTTGATAAGATAATGAATAATCTAACTTTCTAATTGACTGAAAAAAGCATATACATCCATATACCTGTAACAAAGAAATGAAAACATCAAATCAAATAATTTTCATTATTTCGTTCACATCACAAAACTTTATATCTAAATATTTTGACCACCACTGTACTTCCTCAGAAGGGCTGAGACTCGCCCCATGTAATTGCCTTTGGTCCCATAACCTTTTGGACACATGACCTCAGAAGCGAGAAATTGACATCTGGTAGGCGGTACCTCTCCTGTCCTGGTTAAGGGTTGGCTGGTACAGGCGGATAAAGATAACATCCCGGATCCCACGTACAAGAAGTACCACATGTATTGCGTCCCTGTCTAGTATGATGATCTTCTTCAGATCGATAGATGATTGGCCACTTATGAAGACGAAACTGAACTTGGTCGCAAATTTTACATGTATAAGAACCGATTCTTCAGGCACCTGTCTTTATCCCCGATATAAGTCTCTGCACTGATGGTCTGTGGTAGTTTTGCCCTTTTTTGGGTGGTAACCTTAGCTGTAACAATGTTCTGTCATAATTTGTTAGTTTGCCTGAAATGCACCTGATTATTGTGGGTCTTAAATATGCGTTGGATGGTCTCCGAGAAGCCTTGGATATATGGGATGACTACAGAAACCTCTCGACATCTAATTATTTTGTATGTGACTACATGGTGTTGAGATATTTTACCAATGATCTCGTGTTATACCCTGTCAGGCGATTGGTGGTTGTACCCGCAGTTCTTATGGGCCTGTCTCACATGGTGTTTTTACTTCATATATGAGCTCCAAAAAGTATCCGTGTCACAGAGTGTTTGTGTTTCTCTAGGTGGTTAAAATATTAGTCCGTGTGTGTCGATTTCTACAAATGATCACAGAAGTTCCGTCTAGTTTCCGGACGGCAATGGTGTCCCTTTGTTGTTGCATAAACAGAACAAGAGTATACCGAAGTGTCAACGGACCATACTTTGATATAAAAATACATAACATTAGGGGAAATATTAAAAAAGGTAAATGTACATAAAGTACAGTTTTGAAACTTTATAAGCAAATGAGAAGTAATACACGTCCATCTTATTTTGCATATTACATATCTCGTACACAGTGATTACACATGATGTATAATACTACAACAATGTAGCATAGCTCAGAAATATTATGATCGGTCATCAATCTATTAATGTAAACATGAATATACAGACATATCTCTTTGGATGTAAACGCACACATACAGCCATCTCTCTTTTGATGTAAACGCACACATACTGACATTTCTCTATTGATTTAAACGCAAACATACAGCCATCTCTCTTTTGATGTAAACGCGAACATACAGACATCTCCCTATTGATGTAAACGCGAGAACATCAGTTATCTTTTTATTGATGAACTTATTTATAAAAAATAGTTGACCACATACATTAATCATGATTATCTGTCTAACCATATCAGAGTTTAATCCGTTTACCAATATTGGGTAAACAGAGACAGCTGTTGTGTATATAATATGACACTACCATTCTATGGATTGAGTACATCATCCAAAAATAAATAGCCGTTTGTGTATACATCTGATAGTTATAAACTAGTATACACCACATATATTATATAAAACTATATTGCAAACTACCTGTACTGGATACTAACATAAATGAGCATTACTTTCGATCAACTATGCTAAGCATAGCTACTTGATGTATTGTTTTCCTTTTTCTTTTCGAAGATGGTTGTGTCAAGTCAAAATTGAAAAGAAAGGAAAACAAGTAAGGGGGTATTTGTAAAAGTGTTGTGAACACATTGTAGTTCATGATAAACATAACACTGTTGTGTAGGCAGATATGAGTGGCTTCTCTCCTAAAACAATTGAATGAAAATATTCATCATTGTACCCTAACAAATATTAAGGTTCATATATTAAAAACATAAGAAAAACGAAAATAGTATTAAATACAAATAGTATAAATGTCAGTAGCTTTCTCCCCCGTGTAGGTCGGGGATCAACAACAGAAAAACACCTGTTGTTACCCACTGCATGTATGGTAAGACTCGAATAATGTGGGAACCCCCTGCAGAATTCGGAATTTGCTTTGTACTCTCTACTTGGGGACACAGAAGCGACCAAAATAAATATGCTGCACCAATTGCAATATTTGGGATCTTTATATTTCTATCTATTTATAACTACCTTTTATTTCTTAGCGCCTTGCTTGTCAATACCTCACTTTTGGCTCTAATCTTGAGCGTTCGCCCAGTTGAGAAAGGCAATGTGTTCTTACCCATATCAAAGTCCATAAAAATGGTAGTTGTGTTTCCCTGTTTAACGTTCAGCATTAAGGGTAATGGCAACAACTGGTTCACTCGTTGTCAATATAATGTGACCGGTCGGAATGCTGTGCTTGGTGCCTTCGGCAATGTATTTCAGTGCGATATCACTATAAAGTCGGCATCAGATCCGTGCTATGACAAGGATTAAATTACACCAACATACTCTGTCTCTAGCACACATACACGTATACATAACGCACATGGCGGCACGTCGTTAAATGACCTTAGATGTTAATAGGACGTTAAACAAAATAAAACCAAACCAAACCAGTAACTTTCTACTTATGTTTTTTTTTTTTACGGGCCGTACAGTACTTCTCTCGCGTGATATGTAAGCCACCCTTCCTGAAGCATATCCACAAATCTGTTTATGTCAGTTTATTTACACTACACGTATACAAGGAGAACTATCAGCGGTAACATTTACTTCTGTTGTCAGGTCAATATGATAAAACTATTGAAAACTAACCAAGCTATTATCATGTGCCTTGGATAGTCCATATTATTCCCGGCCCATTCTTTCGCTCAATCATAAACCAATGCTTTTCAGGTCACACATAGGATACTGTGAAACGTTTATATGAATGTTTTGTATTAATAGGTTGCTGATTTATCAGCAATGATGCAAAGTACATAACAAGATGATAATAATAATAATAATATTTGCAGGTTCTGATATACCGCTTTATCACAACCTAGTTCGTAGGTCGTATCAAAGCGGTTCACAAATTATTATCCGTGGCTATAGGGCCTTTGCAACCAGCCTATATCTTTCTCAACTCCCTGGGGAGCATACAACCGGAGCTGCCATTTCGGCGCTATCAGCTAGCATTCAACAAATTCTAGCGCTGCCAAACCACGTACTCATTTACAGCTGAGTAGACTGGAACACGCGGAGATACAACACAGTGCCGTGCCGTGACTCGAACCCGCAACCCTTCGTTCACGAGCCCGGCGTCCTATCACTAGGCAACCGTGCCTCGTGATCACCCATGCAGCTATTTGTACATGTTACCCGGCCTCGCGATAAATATTTACAAAGTGGTTCTTTTTCAGAACGACAAACCCAACCTAGAATCCCACTTGCCCTACTTCGAACCAAAAAACAAGGAAGTAATACATAACTAGGAATATACGGAGAAGCTGACAAGAAAACATGGTGGCATTTGAGGATAAGTTAATACAAAAGTCTGTTTGAAGTTAAATGCGTTCAAAATGAAAAACGAACACGATAGCAAGTAATCACTGAAATAAAGGTTTGTGAAAAAAAAGAGATTTATTTTCTCTTTCAGAACGTAAACAATATAGCGGGAAACAAAAACTGTAAACTTATTTGATTTTCCTGTTACCA